GCACTGAGGGTTCCCCTGACGCTCCACCTCCTTGTCGCGGCCCTGAGGAAGCTGATAAAACAGGTCGAACTGATTAGTCGTGTTCTCGCTGTTCTCGCTGTCTGACATTGCCTGAGAAGATAGGCCTGAAGCTTGCCTGAGAAGATAGGTCTGACAGTGCCGCTGCAGGCGGAAGCCTGAAGCTTGAGCCTGAGCCTTCGCGCCAACATGAATCTCCTGAAGTGAGCTATGGAGCAGCTCAGAAATTTCAGAGAGACTGAAACCCTTGCGTCGAGGCGTGCTAAGAGGCCTGCCAGGGAGCCTGCTTAGAGGCCTGCTCAGGAGCCTGCTCAGAGGCCTGCGTCTGCTTAGGCCTGCTTAGGAACCTGCTCAAAGGTCTGGTTCGGAAGTCTGAGAGGCCTGCTTGGGGGCCCCTCTGAGAGACCTGCTGAGGACCCTTCCCAAAGAAGCTTTCCCTGCTCCTGCTTCTCCTGCTTTTCCTGCTCATGTTCCTTGTCTTGCTCCTCCTTCTCCTCTTCTCTTCCTCCTCCTTCTCCTCCTTCTCCTTCTCCTTCGCCTCTTATTGCTGTTCCTCCTCCTCCTTGTCCTCCTTATCTTCCTCTTTTTCTTCGATTTGATTCTTTATCTTTTCCGAAGAGGGTTCTATTGCAAAGCCCTTCGAGAAATTGGTGTTCATCGGCCGTCCTAGGGGGAGGTCCACGAGAGGGTATCCCGCACCCCCGCACCGTGGCGTTATCTCAGCACCCGGCCACGCGAAAAAAACAATCCAGTTCTATTCCTGCGGGTGTCCTGAGGATTCCTAAGGATTCATCTAGGATTCTTAAGGATTCCCTTGCGATTCCTGCGCATTCCTAAGGCTTTCTATGGATTCATCAGGATTCCAAAAGACTCCTTTAAATTCCTAAGGGCTCGTCAGGAATTCCCGGGGATTCCTCATGAATTTAAGGATTCCTAAGGATTCCTACAGGTTCCTCAGGATTCCTGAGGATTCCTAGAGATTCCTAAAGATTCGTTATCCTCCTTCTCTTCCTCCTCCTCCTCCTCTCCTTCCAGTGCTTCAGACTTGTGAGCGACGCTTCAATCTCACCAACAATCCAATCTGACCTGGGCAAGACACAGAACAATATGCCGACGATCCGTTCTGAACTAACTGGAAAAGCTGAGAAACCTGGGAAAGCTGAGAAACCTGGGAAAGCTGAGAAACCTGGGAAAGTTGAGAAAACTGAGAAAACTGAGAAGCTGACAAACCTGAGAAAGCCCTGGCCCCTGAGGGAAGGTGGGAGATCATGGGCCGAAGGCATCTCCTGGGCGTCTCCTGGGCCCAGTGCTTCTGCAGGAGCCAGGTAGCCTCCTCCTCCACCTCCTCCTCCTCCAGCGCTTGGCGCGGGAGGGGGAGGAGGAGGAGGAGGAGGAGGAGGAGGAGGAGGAGGAGGAGGAGGAGGAGGAGGAGAGGGAGGAGGAGGAGGAGGGGGCAGGAGGAAGTTCGTGGGTGGAGGAGAGGAGGAGGAGGAGGAGGACGAACTTGGAAGGGAGATGGGAGGAGAGGAAGGAGGAGGGCTCCTGGTGCCAGGTAACGCTTCCAGGGTGCGGAAGGGTTATCGATTTGCCGGAGGGGGGGGGGTCTTAAATGCTTCCTGGGGTTAGGTGACACAATTCGACTCCAAGGAAGCGGAGGAGAAGAAGGCGGAGGGCCAACGAGAAGAAACGGAAGCAGGTACGATGATACAATGTACCCCAAATTCATATCATAGCAAAGCAGGTTAGGTTGCCCGGGATTTAGAACAAAACAACTAGCTATGTGAAGCTGGTGGGAAATTCGCAACTGAAAAGAAACATGCAGGCGGACGACGACGACAATGACGACCAAAGGGCACAGGGCGAAGCACAAGGCGGCATGTGAACAACAATGCTGCAAAGCGCGGGTGATCAGCAACTGCGTCTGCGTCTTTCTGCCACAAGAGAGTCTCCAGCCACGTCTGGCGCCCTGGCGCCATGCGAAAGAGCAACGCGTGCGCTGTAGAGCGCGAAAAGGGCTACGGCCCGCTGTGCCCGCTCACCGCCTGAACGCGTGCAAAGGCAAAACAAACTTTCCAATCTCCATTCCGGCGGCACCGCAGGGAGGTCCATGCGGTCGGTGAGAAAGGAGCGACAAAATCGTGCAGTGGGCGCAGTTGCTCCAAAGAGTCTTGCCCGTTACAACCGAAGATGCACCTTCCAAATCTTAGGTCGGGCATGTCCCCCTACAAGCGCATCTTGGACGAAAGATAAAACATACACCAAACATGCTCAAACATGGTCAAACAATGCTCAAACACTGTCCCCTGACTACTTTTTACTATGTTTGGATATTCCCCTTGTAGAGGGACAGGCCGGACTCAATCCTACTCGCTGCATGCGGCGCCATGTCACGCTGCCGTGGCACCATGCTCGCAGGAACGCCGCGCGCACGCGCGGCTGACAGGCCCCGCGGAGCTTCTTCACTACCCGACGGGCATGCTCGAGGCGACGCCCAGGCAAACTTTGGATCTGCCGCCGTTCCAGACGACGCCGCAGGTGCCAGAAAACCGCATCAGGATGTGCGCGAGGCTGGCTGAAGCCACTCGCAGCATGCGCGCTGCCATCGTCTGCGTACTGCTACCTCCGCGTCAGCGGTGTCACCGTGCATCTGGTCGAGAATGCGACTGTCGTCCCCGCCCGTCATCTGGCACATGAAACCTAGCGCGGCGTCCGAAGTGAGCACCATGGCGTTGTCGAACCACGCGTCCCAAAACGGCCCCCGAACGTCGCAACGCGGGACTGCGCCGAATCAGACGGAGCGCAGCAGCCCGCGAAGACACTTGCAAGCCTCCGCTCGCGCGAGCCTCCCACTTGGCCACACGACATTTTTGGTAGCAGATCCGGCATAGAATGCGTGCATCCAAGGTGTGGCAACCAATCGCAAGGGCCAGAGAAGAGCACCCTGCATGCGCGCTTCTCGTGTTCAGGCCTGTCGTCGGAGACCGGCATGACCTGGGCTACGAAGCAGAGCGCTGGGAAAATCCACAACCGCTATACCGAGAGAGTAGCATGAAAGCCGCCGCCAATGTCCCTCCAAAGGCGGCACCGCTCGTGGTACTTCACCAATGCTTTTCTCCAGGAGCTCGCGCGGCTCTCCAGCCCAAGGACGAAGCCGAGGTCGTCAGCTGCATGTTGGAAGGCCAAACCACCCCACGACGGAACACCAGCAGTCCGATGCGGCCTGGCCTGCTGCAAACACATCGTGGTGAGCGGGGCCCATACTGTTTTCCCGTGGTGGAGCTGCAGGCCCGCGGCCGCCGCGTACTCCAGCAACGTCGTCTCGAGGCTCGCTGCTGCACTACAGCCGTCCCGTAAAACCACCGCCACATCGACGGCGTATGCGCGTATGAGAGCATCCAGATGTCGATGGCGAAGGCGGCAGAGAAGTAAGTCTGCAGCGACGGCGAACACTAGAGGGGGGAGAGGGCATTCTCGTCGGATGCCCGTCTCCAAATTGAACCCACGAAAGAACGCTGCGCGTGCCAGCCAAGAGATCGAAAGAGGTCCCCGAAGGAAGTCGTGGCGGACGCTCTGGGAGGCTTCGTGGACCCCCTCGCTGCAGGTGGCCTGCCTGGTGGTGGTGATCGTGTCGCCTCTCATTCCTCTGAACGCCCTCGTATGCAGTGCGACCCAGTACAGTATTCGGCCTGACCTAAGGAACGACAAATAAGGAACGAAGCCTTTTTTCCAAGCAAGTCTACGAAGTCCGAAGGAACACCAGGGGGGGCTCGCCGCCAAAAAGGTAGCGGAAGGCATGCACACCGCAGGAACGACCGAGCCCCTTTTGAAAAGTGTTCATTATTCAAGCCGGATACTGTACAAGCGCTGCACGCAGGACGCGCATCACAGCGGCGGGCGGCGGCCTCTCGGGCCGAGGTGCGACGCCATCGTTCGGTTCGCCATGCAGCGAGAGGGTCTCCTTGGAGATGGAGTCCTGGACGTCGGGGCGTTGCCGCTGGACCAGCTCCTCATCCCGAGCCGTGCCCTGGCAATCCCGGAGCCCGATGGGGAGCAGGGGAGGACGAAGAGGAGGAGAGGCAGGAGGAGAAACTAACAGCACACAACAGACGTACAGACGAGAAAGATGCCCTGCCGTGGAGACTCTACGGGCACATGGCTCGTCGACCCTGCGCGCGGCGGCGGCCACTGCGATACGCAGAGTCCGGCGAGAGCATGGCGTGCCGCTCCGCTCCACGAAGCGGGAGGACGGGCGGAAGGCTCGGGACGTGGACGCTGAGAGACTGGGACGTGGTTCACGCGTCGCGTCGAGGCGTGGTGGGCCAGAACTGCCGGCGCGACACGCTGAGCAGACGTGCCTGACGTGCCTGACGGTATCTGGCGTGCATGCCGCAAGTGCCCGACGCCGTGCTCCTCCACGACGTGGAGCCCCGGAGGTTTGGACCCCTTCCCTGGGAACGCCTCTTTCATCCTGACTCGTGTTTTCACTGTCCGGGAGCCCAGCGAGGGCCCCCAGAGGCTAAAAAGCGGCAGGTGCCTTCCGTCGGGTCTTTTTGGACGGCGCGCGGGGGTCTGGGGGTCGCGTCGCGTCGACGCGGCGGCGGCCCTGCCGCGAGCGCTCAGGGTTGAACGCCGCCAGTGGCCCAGGATTGGCCAAGATGGAACGATCTGGCGATCGAGCAGCCGCCGATCGTTCAAGGTTAAACGATGCACGCGGTGCCAGGAACCAACGCCGGGGTCGTCACGACACGAACCTGCCGTAGCCGTAGCCAATCACCTCCATCCTTCTCCACCCCTCGGGCTGCACCCGGTGCTGCGTGCTGCGGCTGCGGCTGTCGGGTGCTGCGCGGCCAGCGTTGGCTTCGGGTGCCGCAGGAGGGCGTGGAGCAGCCCCCCCCTCCCAGCGCGGTGGAGGGCCCCCCCCCGCGGAACCCCCCCCCCCCGGGGAGGGGCAGGCGCAGGGCGCGGCGGCGGGCGGAGGGCGCCTCGCCCTGCGGGGCCTCCTCGAAGGCCGCGCAGGGTGCCCGCGGCTCGGGGGCCTGCTGGCCCGCGCCGCTCCGCGGGCCCCGCCGTGGAGGAGAGAGGGGGGGCGGGGGCAGGAGCTACGCCAGGAATCTATATATAGCACCCCGCAATTGCGGATAAGAGTGAGGGGGCGGGCGCGGGCGACGCGGGCGTCGTCAAGCCGGCGGACCTCGTGGCCCCCACCTTCCCTGTCGATGGCGCTCTCCTTCTCCCCCTCCTCCTCCTCCTCCTCCTCCTCCTCCTCCTCCGCCTCCTCCTCCTCCTCCTCCTCCTCCTCCTCCTCCTCTTCCTCGTCCTCGTCCTCGTCCTCATCGTCATCGTCGTCCTCCTCCTCCACCTCGTCCTCCTCCTCCTCCTCTTCTTCCTCGTCCTCCCTCTCCCCCCCTCGTCCTTCCATCATCGTCCTCCCATTGTCGTCATGATCCTCCTCGTCGTCCTCCTCCTCTTCCCCCCCTCCCGATCCTCCCCCCTCCTCCTTTTTGTCGTCGTCGTCGTCGACGTCGTCGTCGTCGTCGTCGTCGTTCCTCCCCCTCCTCCTCCTCCTCCTCCTCCTCCTCCTCCTCCTCCTCCTCCTCGTCCTCCTGCAAAAGCAGCCCGCCGCAGGCGCCGAAAAATTTGGTTTGTACACTGAACGTGGTTTGGGTCGCTGGTGGGCCGCGGGTTCTCCACCAGGAACGAATGCACAAGATGCCCGCCGCAGGCGCCGAAAAATTTGGTTTGTACCCTGAACGTGGTCGCGGGTGGGCTGCGGTCTCTCCACCTAGAAGGAATGCAAAAGATGCCCGCCGCAGGCGCCGAAAATGTGGTTTGTACCCTGAACGTGGTTTGGGTCGCGGGTTGGTCGCGGGGTGGGTCGCGGGGTGGGTCGCGGGCTCTCCACCTGGAAGGAATGCAAAAAAAGCCCGCCGCAGGCGCCGAAAATGTTGGTTTGCACCTTGAACGTGGTTTGGGTCGCGGGTGGGTCGCGGGTGGGTCGCGGGGTGGGTCGCGGGTGGGTCGCGGGTGGGTCGCGGGTGGGTCGCGGGTGGGTCGCGGGTGAGTCGCGCGGGTGGGTCGCGGGTGGGTCGCGGGTGGGTCGCCGGTGGGTCGCGGGTGGGTCGTGGGGTGGGTCGCGGGTGGGTCGCGGGTGGGTCGCGGGGTGGGTCGCGGGATGGGTCGCGGGGTGGGTCGCGGGGTGGGTCGCGGGTGGGTCGCGGGTGGGTCGCGGGTGGGTCGCGGGTGGGTCGCGGGGTGGGTCGCGGGTGGGTCGCGGGGCGGGTGGCGGGTGGGACGACGACAACAAACAACAACAACAACAAACAACAACAACAACAACGAATCCGCACCGCGGAATCCCACTTCAGCCACGCACCCAGGGACAGTGAATGACCGTTCGGCCCCCTCACTCTGATTATATATATATATATATATATATATATATAATATGTTACACACACACACGTGTACATGTATATAGACACGCACACTTTCCCTTTTATATGTTTACAATCCGGGCGGAACGCGAAAGGGGTCACCCCCCCAAAAGAAAGCGGACTCCCGGGATCTGGGGCTTTGGGACCCTCTGGACGGGCCTCGAAGCGCCCCCCCGGGCCTCGCAGGGCGTTTTGCCAAGCCTTCCCAGCACACCTAAGGCGATCAGGGGGGTCATCGGAGACGTCCCAGAGAACCTCGAGACAGCACAAGAGCACTCCAAGAGTGACCAACGTGACCTCCAGATGGCCCAAGAGGCCTCCAGGACGGCCCCAAAGAGGCCTCCAAGAGCACTCCCAAGAAGGCCCCAAGAGGCAAAAATCATTGATTTTCTGTTGGTTTTTGGGGTTCTCCTCTTTTCGGCTTCCCGACGTTCCAAGACGGCGGTCTTCCGGGCGTCCGAAGCCGCCTGGAAGGCTCCAAATCGCCCCACAATCATCCGAAAGGGCTTCCGGGCAGTCCAAGAGAGCCCCAAAACGGCACAACACGGGTCCTAGATGGCCCTCAGAGAGCCCCATGGCGGCCCAAGATGGCCCCAAGACACCCTCCGAAGCATTCCAAGTTGTGACCCGGTCGTTCAGGGAGACCGCGGTCGGAGGCAGGGTGGCTCGAGGAAGCCCCCAGAGGCCCCCAGAATACGCCCAGGAGGCCTCCAGAAGGCCTTAAGAAAGCCAGACAAAAAAACATGTGTGAGGCCCCCAGAGGCTCTCCAAGGAGGAGCATCCGCAAAAAAGAGCTGCGGAGGATGGGGAGAATGCGCAGGATATGGCGAAAATGAAGAAAAAGAAGCATGGAGGAAGGATAACGAATAACATGATCATAGCGGCGATGCCGAAAAAGGCAACAAGGAGTTATCGCTAAAAAAGACCAAGGTGCGTGGCGCGAAGCGCCAATGCAGTCTGATGCAGTCTTGTACATATATATATATATATGTATATATATATATATATATATATATATATATATATGCATATATGTAAATATATATATATATATAGATATACATATATATATATATATATATATGTATGGGTAAATGTAGATGGAGCTGTATATGTATTTGCATATGTATTTGTATTTGATTATGTAAATGTATTGATTGGAGAGAGCGTGATCCACCGCCGCTTTACTGTGGAAAATTGCCCACCTTTTCCTCCGGAACCCGGGGGTCGCCCCCCCCCCCCTCTCGAAAATCCCCCCCCCCCCCGCTGAACCCCTCCCCCCCCCCCCCCCTCCCCCGGCAAAACCCCCCCCTCCCCCCTCCCCCCCCCCCCTCCCCCTCGAAAACGGGGGTCACTACCGGTTCGAACCCCCCCCCCCCCCTCCAGATCCGGAAAACCGGGGGGGGTCACTACCGGTTCGACCCCCCCCCCCCCTCGAAAACCGGAGGGGGATCACTACCGGTTCGAACCCCTCCCCACCCCCCCACTCACCGCCAGCAAACGACTCCCGGTCCCTACCACCGTCCGCATCACATCCTCCACTGTTGTTCCCAGCACCACTGTCCTCACCACCACTGTCCCCACTGTGTCCCCACCAGTGCCCCCACCACTGTCGCACTGTCCCCACTGTCCCCACCACTGTTCCCACCACGGTTCCACTCTCCCCACTGTCTCCACGGCCCCAACCACTGCCCGACTATCCCCACTGTCCCCACTGTCCCACTGACTCCGCCGCTGTCCCACTGAGCTGTCCCACTGTTCCCACCACTGTCCCCACTGTCCCCACCACTGTCCCCACTGTACCTCTGTCCCATTGTCCCACCGCCGTCCTCGCCACCGCCTTCACCACTGTCCCCACCACCATTGTACCCTCCACTGTCCCACTGTTTCCACCTCATTCCCACTGTGCCCACACCACTGTCCCCACCACCACCGTCCCCACCACTGTCCACTGTCCCCCCTGTTCCCACCATTGTCCCCACCACTGTCCCCACCACTACCGGCCCTCTACTGTCCCACTGTCCCACTGTCCCCACCACTGTCCCGCTGTCCCCTCACCACTGTCCCACCAACACCGTCCCCACCTCTGTCCGCACCCCCACTCGGTTTTCGAGGGGGGGGGGGGGGGGGTTCGAACCGGTAGTGACCCCCCCCCTTTTCATGGGGGGGGGGGGGGAGGGGTTCGAACCGGTAGTGACCCCCCCCCGGTTTTCCGGAGGGGGGGGGGGGGGGGGGGGAGGGGTTCGAACCGGTAGTGACCCCCCCCCGGTTTTCCGCCAGCAGCGGTAGAACACGCTCTTTCATTGATTGTGACATTAGTTGTGAGATCGATCGTAATATCGATACTGAGATCGATAGAGGAATCGACAGTGAAATCGCTAGTGGGATCTATGCTGGGATCGATCGCTGAATCCATTGGTACTAGTTTCCTAACTGTTTCCCCCCCAATTCCAACCTCCGTATCATCCGAAGCGTGGTCGTAGAGGTGTGTATATATATATATATACATATATGGTGGAGGGTTTGGGCCCCCCCCCATGCTAATGCAATCGGGCCCCCCCCCCGCGCGATGGTCCCCCACCCCCTGTGGGCATGGGCGTGGCGTGGTGGCCCCCCCGCCCCCACCCCCCGTGGGAGTGGTGTGGGATCCCCCCTGTGGGTGTGCGGTGGTTAGGGGTCCGCCTCAGCCAAGAGTCGGCGTCGCTGGCGCCGCCGCCGCCGTCGTATCGTCGTCGTCGTCGTCGTCGTCGTCGTCGTCGTCGTCGTCGTCGTCGTCGTAGTCGGCGTCGTCGTCGTCGTCGTCGTCGTCTTCGCCATCGTCGTCGTCCTCAGCCTTTGCCTCCGGAGAGTGGCGGCTACATGGGAAGAGGAAGCCGGAGGGGGGAGCAAGGTAGGGAAGAGAGGGCCAAAAACGAGGAGGGAGGGATGGAGAGGCGGATGGGGGGAGGAGGAAAAAGAACATCGTCGTCGACGGTGTCGTCACCGTCGTCGCCTTCTTCTGGGTGTGGCGTTGTGTTCCAGTGCTTCAGGGAGCCGGAGCGGACGGTGTCTTCGTCGTCGTCGTCGCCGTCGTCGTCGTCGTCCTCCTCCTCCTCCTCCTCCTCCTCCTTCCATCTGGGGGGGGGGGGTGCCCGAGGACCCTGGGACCCATCCCATCTGGGGGTGGGGGGGCCCGTGGGCCCGGAGCCCGCGATCATATATGGATACATGTGTGTGGCGGAGGAGTTCGTTAGTTCCTCCATCTGCTTCTCCTCCTCGCCCTCCTTCCCTACTCTGGAGTCCTGAATAATCGTAGGTGCCTTTTGGGGAGGCAGGGGGGTCCGGTTTGGTAAGGCGCTTTCTTGAAGCCGACGTTCATGGGGGTCCGGCGCCTTTTGCGCATGCAATCTCACACCACCCTTACGCACCATAGCCTTTAGAACCATATGGGCTTTCGACAGACGTAGGACTCCTTGCACTCTCTGGCTTGCTTTGTTGGGGGTCTGGCCTTTATCGTTCCTGGGGTTCCGTGCGCCTCGCAAACACTCTGCGGGGGAACATGTACACTACTGGCCCTTGCGCCCATCACGTTGCTCAACAATGTGGTCCGGCCTCCACGTCAG